AGATAAGAACAAGTTTATAAACATTTCCAACTCCCTCCATAAGACTTGCTGGTTTTCCCTTAAGAGTCTTTTCTGAGGAATCTCAATAGCTCACAAGTAAAAGCAAGTTGTCAGGGTTGCCTCACTCCACATACAGGACAAGGAAACCAATCAGTACATAAACCTCACCCAGGCACACACACTCGTGATTTAGTTTGTTTTACATTTTATTACCTGCACTTTTATAAATTGGCAATCAAAGAAAACTAATATTTGAGGAAATTCTGTAGCACAAAAAAAAGAGCAATATAACCTGAAAGATAAAAAGTTGGAAAAATAGACAAGATTGAAGGATATGAGACAATAAATTATCAATAATGCAAAAATGTATTATTGCAACAAAATGCAACAGAATATTATCCCAAAAATGCAAGATCTGGGAAACAGATCTCAAAAAGTAAATCAAAACTCAGAGAAGAAAATAGTAAAAAAAATAGTAAATTAATGATAGTCCAAGAGGCTCAAACTTTTAAAAATGGAAAAGTTCCAAAGAAGAAGGAATGAACAAACCACCAAATGTAACAGAGGGAGAAAATAGGTAAAAAGAACAGAAAGAAACAAAGCGAGAGATGCAGATTTTGTTTTCAAACTTAAAAAGCATATAGAACTGCAAGAAACGAGTTTCTAAACCTTAAAAGGTCTATAAGTTTCCAAGAAAAATGACTAAACGAGACCAGTCCAAGTATAAACGTGGTGTTATAAACTACAGAAGACTCATCAAAAGTGTAAGAAAGCAAAAAGACAAAGACTCCTTAATTTATACTCAGAAAATTAAAAGAAAATCCAGCAAGTAAAAATAAAAATCCTGAGTAAAATAATTTCTAGCTTATGCATCCATACGCTGTCTTTCACGTGTAAGGATAGAATAAAGGACATTTTTGATACTTGAGGATTTCTAAAAAGAGTTCTCTTACATATATTTTTTATCAGAACAGTCCTGAAAACAATGTACTGACAGAGTGAAGAGTAAAGCAGGCAAGGATTCAGTAAAAACAGGATCAAGAATGAGGTTGTTTAGGGAAATTTCCAAGGTGAGGGTGAAGACAGCAACTAGTCAAGACTACAAGAGAGGTCTGTGGCGAGGCGTCATCAAGAAAGTGGGCTTGACAAGGTACATGTGACCTTTTCAGTATCCACAGGTATATGTCCTTGTTGAGAAAGAAAGAGGTTGATATCACAAATTAACTTATTTTCTTTCTTAACACCCATTTTTAGGTCTGACCAGTTACTGGAAACACAGTTATCATTTTTTAGCTTATGAAATCTTTTTGTCCCACATGATTGTAATATAGTGACATGTTTGTCATTTTACTGACCCAAATTTCAGCACTTTACAGTTGTTAACTATGATGAACATAATGGTTAACACCAGAGTCATGTAAACTCCTTTTTTCTTGGGTATTTTGTTTAATCCACTCAATCCATGTTCCCTATATGGCAGCCTAAGGGATAATGCCAATGGACCATGGTAAAGTCATCATCCCACAGTGCCTTCTCTCACACCCCAACAGATGGTTGAGCGCTTTGCTGCCTCTGCACCCCCCATGGCTTGCCCCACCGCTCTGAGACCTGTGAGTAACACATTCCTATCCTTTGCTTTTATCCTTCATTGTGTCTCACTTGCCACATACAACCAAATCTTCCTCAAATCAAGGGTCCCTAGAGAGTCGCCATCAAGACTAAATATGAAGGAACCATAACAGCAGAAATTACAACACTGAATATGAACCAGTTATATATAGGTGTATAGCAAAATACATAATCAAATGAACAAACCAAAAGAATAATTAATTTCAGATTGAGGGGAACTTGATGTGAAAGAAAGTAAGTAAAACTTACACAATATAGTTCACTTAGAAATAGTTTTTATAGGGATTGGAGAGACGGCTCAATGGTTAAGAGTTACACTGGCTGTTCTTGCAGAGGAGCCAGGTTCAGTTCCCAGCACCCCCATGGCAGCTAACAACCATCCATAACTCCAGTTCCGGGGGATCTGACACACTCTTCTGACCTCTGTGAACATTGCACTTATATACATGGCACGCAATACACTCATGCACACTAAAAAATAATAGATAAAAATAAGTGGTTTTTACTAAGTTATGATCCTGATCACCCAACTTATTTACTATAAATGGTAAAGAGTATTATGGCATAGTGAATGGAAGTTCCCAGAAAAAACCTGCATCTTCAAACTGAACCTTCTGCAAGGCTGAATATTGGTTAGAACTTCAGTAATTGTGTAGAATTTGGAATATTGAAGGTGCAGAACCTAATTACATTTATCTTGGATTATCTTTAGTCCTTTAAATAGTCATTCCTTGCCCACCTCTGTGCCTGCCTTAACATCCTGTGGCTAACAGATTTAAAAAAGAAACTTTTGAGATGCATTAACTTAACAAAACCCTAGCTTTCACCAACCAAAAGACTCAGCATCTGAGGCCAGTAACTGAGATTTCTCTACTTTGCTGTAGCCACCTACTGGATGTTTCCACCAACACATTTGATTTATGATTTTCTTTCTTCTGTTACCATAAAAACTTCATGAAAATGCTTTCACATTGGAACATGGGATGTGGGGCAACCCGAGTCTGTGTTCCCTGGCCATGGGCACTCATATTTGGCTCCAGAAGGGACTTATGCCCTTTGAGAATCTGCTTGAGAGTTGTGTTGTGTTTTTATGTCAACAGTAGGAAGAGAAAGTATCAATATCATAAAGTAAGTAGAAGAACAGAGACAAAATCCTCCTGTGCTGGGAAATGATTTCTCCTCCTAAGCAAGTGTTAAGTATCTGCTAAGTAACCCATTCTCTTTAGAAATAGGGAAACAGTTATGTAAAAAGAAAGAACTGAAACAGGCTTTCTTCCTTAGAAGCAGAAACAAGCAGATGAATGTGGTCCTTCTCTCTCACATGACTAAAACTGTTAGATTTAAAAAAATTCTGTGCAATATAGCTGTAATACAATAAATTCCAAATACAAAGTCAGTAATGATATTTTTTTCAGCCAGTTGTGCAAAAGCATGAGACACCCCAGTTTTAACCGTGAAGAAGAAATGGCAGTTTCAATCTGCTCCAGCCTGTTCTCACTGGGGTGGGGAAAGAGAGACGGTTGGATTTTTTTTTTTTTTTTTTTTTTTCGTCTTTTTTGAGATAGGGTCTCCCTGTAGCCTCAGATAGCCTGGAACTCACTACCATAGACCAGGCTGGCTTTGAACTCACAGAGATCTGCCTACCTCTACCTTCCAAGTGCTGGGACTAAAGGCATGCCATGATTTAATATCAGCATTCAGGAGGCAGAGGCAGGCAAATCTCTGTGAAATCAAGGCCAGTCTGATTTACACAGTGAATTCCAGGCCAACTGGGGCTGCAAGGAGACCCTGTCTCAAAACCAGAGTTACTTCTGACTTTTCATAAGAAAACAGCTATGAGGCAAACTGGCTAAGTACCTCCTGTTGGACTATTTCAGAGCATATTGAAAAATTCCAAATTCCAAAGTCAGGTTAAATTTATGTCGACAAGCTGATACATAGTAGCATTTTCTAGTTCATTTATTTATTCTAATGATATTTTTGAAATGAAGTCTGTTCTCTAAAAGGTTAAAAGAGATAAGAGGCACCAAATAGTTGTCAAAAAAATTTTTTTAAATATGCAATAGTGATTTTGCTTACAAAATGTTGTCTACTCACAAGCAACAGCAATATTGTAACATGAAAATCAGAGTCACTAACCATGTTCAAGCTAATCACAAAAGCGTGTTTGTCCTCCCATTCAAACCAATGCCTCCCCTCATCCAAAAAACAAGAATCCTTTTTAATTCTCAAGCAGATTCATTGTCGGTTTTGGCTGTCATTGGTTAAACTTCCTCCCAATAAAAAAAGAAAATGGAGTTCTTGATTCCATTTTGTGTCTTCCCACAGACTCACAAGGCCTTCAAGACTTCCTGTAGGTCACATGATCCAGCTATTCTAGGAAACTAAGGAGAGCTACCCACCTGTGCTTATAGTCTAGCTGTAGCTGGATTACGCTTGGATTTAGCAATTTAACTGGAATAGAGAGAACTGCTTTCAAGTATAATAACAGATTTGGAAATACAGAGGGACAACCAGCAACTATTTAAACTATTTAAATTTATTCATTTTTAGGTATGAGGAATCTGAAGACCAGAGGAGTACCAAAGATCTTGTCAACGAAGTTGGCAGAGCTCTGGGGCTGGGTTGAGGTCTTGAGAAATTCCAGGGCCCTTTGTTCTGTCATACTGGGAAATCTCAAATGAGAGTAAAGCCAGTGAACTTGGGGATCTGCCCATCAAAACAGTTCACCTTTCGCTGGGTATGGTGGCCCACACATTCAGTCCCAACACTCGAGGCAGAAGCAGGCAGGTGTCTGTGAGACTGAAGCCAACCTGGTCTCTATAGTGATTTCTAGGCCAGCTGGTGCTACAAGGAAACCCTGTCTCAAAACAATAGCAACAAAATGTAACTAAAAAGCAAAACATTTCACCTTTTTAAAATCAAGCAATTAACCTTTTCATCTGCACTAGAATGTCTAGGAATTTCTTGCAAGCATACTTTCTTATACGTTTATTTGTTACAAATGACTGAAAAATGTGTTGTATTTTTTAACCTTTAAAAAAAATTGGAAGATGGGGCTAGAAAGATGGTTCAATGGGTAAGAGCATGAGAACCTGAGTTCAAATCCCCAACACTCATGTGAAAAGTTAGGCATGGTAACCAGCAATTAGGAGTGGGGAAAGGTGGATTCCAAGAGCTCCCCAGCAAGCCAGCCTAGTCAAAAAGGTTCAGTAAGAGATGTTTAAAAGACAGAAAAGGAAGAACATAAAGGAGGTCACCTGATGCCCTGTTCTGGCCTTCTAGGTACATAGATGCAAACATGCACGTATAACCACCACCCCCCCACACACAGACAGAAATAGACAGAGAGACAGAAAATTGGGACATACCTGTTGTTCCAGAAGTAAAAATATAGAGGCAGGTAGACCTGAGGCTTGAGGCAACATGATGGCTACGTGGCAAGGGCTCATCAGAGGAGACACTCAGCTTTTCTTTGAGTGAAACTATACCTTCTGGGACGGAATCCTTCATCCCCCAAACACTGACATTTTGGGGGAGACTGGGAAGAATTTCTTCTATACATCCAAGCAAATCTAAAAAGCAAAGGTTAGAAATAGGTGAAGAAAACTTAACTCTCAAGTCTTGCACATTGAGTTCCTTTCATGTGTGAGAACAGAGATTAAAAGATTTTCTTCTGTTGTATGAAAGTCATGGTCATTTTATGGTTATATTTGGTTTGGGGGATTTTTATATTCTCTTTATTTTTCTTTCTTTTTAAACACATCACCCTAAGTATTCCTAGTCTGTCCTTGAATTTGCAGTCTCTGCCTCAGCTTGCCAAATCATGGGATCGCACATGTGAGCCCCCATTCCTAGCTTTATGGTTTGATTTCAACAGGATGAACTGACATGGCAATTCAGCTACCATCCAATTAAACAATACAAGTTGGCAGATTCAAATTAAATCTGGGGGATTCCTTATCATAATTATGTGATGTTCTCAAATTTTAAATAAAAATTCTTCTTAGATTCTCTTCAAATTTAAATTCGGGATACTGTTCAACATTTTCTTTAAATATAACTTGGTAGTTAAGTATTCAAAAAAAAACTGTTTGGTTCGGTTAGTCCACTCTAATGAAATACATTTGGGAAAGAGTCCTTGACTGCTCTGAAATCACAAAATCCTTGTGGTTTTGAGACTATTTTGGAACCAAAATGAGATTTAGAGAGATGTCTGTTCTCTGCACAGTGGTGATTAAAGTTGCAAACTTCTGCAAACAGAGGAGAAAAGGAGCCTCCCAGCAAAGCACAAGGCAGGACATGACAATGGCTGATGACACATGGGTGCCCAGCGGTGCCTCCAGCAGCAGCAGGAAGACCCAAGGCCAAAGGCAGAACCAAAGTCAAACAGAAAAAAGGAAAAGAAAATCATGGCGAGCTTAGCTTGGGTCTCCACACCTCAAATACTAGTCTGATGGCATCAAGGGTCCGAGTGTTCTGTGACTGGAAAGGGGAGAAGATCTCTTTTCAGAAGCTTTGTTTTCAGGATTAAGGGGTGGGGGGCAATGACTGAAGTGAGGTGAGACTAAGTTATTTTGAAACTTTCATTTGGCCACTATTGTAGGATAAAGTGTCACACTCAGGAGGCACACTGATGGGGAGGAAGCGAGACAGACGGTTGCAGTGGGTCCCTCGTGAGGAAGCACTGCCTAGTAAGGTGCCCAGCACCCAACGGGGTACAGAAAAAACAAAAATCCATATTCTTGGAAAAATCTTCTTCCAGAGTAGACAGATGATTATTTATTTACATTATTTACATTCTTTCTATTTATTTATTTATTTATTTAATATTTATTTATTTGTTTATTTCTGAGACAGAGTCTCCCTGTGTCCCCAGCTGGTCTGGAACTTCCTATGGAAACCAGCCTGGCCTCAGTCTCACAGATCTGCCTGGTTCTGCCTTCCAAGTGCTGGGATTAAAGATAATGCGCCACCACACCCAGTTTACATTCTTTTTAAATGTAATGCTGTCCTTACTTTAACATGGATTTCTGACAGTGGGGTGCAGGTTTTATATTTAACATGGATGTTAGCTTTCTTTCCATATTTCTACAACATACCACTCTTTTCTAAGGTGTAAGGGACTTCTGAGTGCTGTACTAATCTTAAAATCTACCTGCACATCCTTGGGGATACTGCATGGCAACACCCACTGGCCTTTTGTGGTCAAAGCAAGTGGAGCCTTGGATCACTGGAAACCAGCAGACACTAAGGAAAGGCAAGGAATGTTTCTTTCCTCTCTCTTCTGTGTGAGTGTGGCCCTCCCAGTGTTTTTGTTTTAGATTGCTGGCTCCCAGAATCTGGATGGAATATGTTCCTCCTATTTTAAACTCCAGTGTGGGGTTACTAGTCAGTGCCCAGTGTAACTGGTAATCTAACTAAAGTCTCTTTAATTCTAAAGCTATATGTGCATCATAAAAGAGATCAACAATTGTGGCTGGAGAGATGACTCAGTGGTTAAGAGCACACACTGCTCTTGTAGAGGACCTGAGTTCAGTTTCCATCACCCACATGGTCAGTGAACAACCTGTAATTCTAGCTCAGGGGATTTGATGCCTTCTTCTAGCTTCTGGGGTCTCTGAACTCACATGCACTGCCCCGCCCCCGGACACACATCCACATATAGTTAAAAATAAAGTAACATCTTAAAATAATCACTTATGAATATTGCTATTAAATATTCAATAGACCTTGGTCAGAATGCTCTAGAATGCACAAATGTTGCCCTTTACAGGTGAATCAATTGCTCATTATTCAATTTTTAAAAATTAAACATCAAAAGTAATCACAAGCTATAACTTATGTTGCATCTGAGTTCACAGTACCATGTAACACATTTTCATGAAGGAGATCATGCAGCAGGAACAAATGTCTGCTTATCTCAAAAGCCATCTGTCAGTCACTGTTCAATTCTATCACACTCAATATATTTGGGAAGCAATCTTGATTTACTTTCTCAAAATATATAACTCAGATTAATCATAAAGAAACAGTAAGAGAGGGCCTGGAGAGATGGCTCAGCAGTTAAGAGCACTGGTTGCTATTGCAAAGAACTGGAGATCAGTTCCCAGTTCCAAGAGGGCAGCTAACAACCATCCTTAACTCCAGTTCCAGGGGACCTTATACCCCCTTCTGGCCTCTGTGGGCACTCCATGCAAAGATGCACTTACATACATGCAGGCAAAGCATTCATATGCATAAATTAATTTTTTTTTAAAAATGAAAGAAAAAAGGGCTGGAGAGATGGCTCAGTGGTTAAGAGCACTAGCTGCTCTTGCAAAGGACCCAGGTTCAATTCTCAGCACCCACATCGTGGCTAAGAATCATCTGTAACTCCAGTCTGAGGGGAATTTGACATCCTGTTCTGACCACTGCAGACATTGCACCACACAAGTGCACTTACACACATGTAGGCAATACACTCATACACAAAAATGTGAGAGTAGCAAAAAGCCCCATTTAAAAAAAGAAAGAGTACATGAAGCTGTCAGGAAAAAGTGATGAGGAGATGCAGGAGGAGTTGGAGGGGAGGGAGTGGGTGTGGATTTGATCAAACACCTTATATGCGTGTATGAAATTCTCAGTAAATGCTTTAAAGTAAAAAAATAATAATAAATAAAAATAATGAATAAAAAATATACATTTTTATTTTTTTGGTCTTTTTGCGACAGGGTCTCCCTGTAGCCCCAGCTGTCCTGGAACTCACTATGTAGACCAGGCTGGCCTTGAACTCACAGAGATCCGCGCTGCCTGCCTCCCGCGTGCTGGGATTAAAGGTATGCGCCACCACGCATAAAATATTTTTTAAAAACAACAACAACAACAAAAAAAAGGGTCAAATGGTACTAGGTAACTCATGAACAAAACCTGTCAAGAAACTCAAATTGAGCTGGGGGCAGCGGGTAGGAGGTATGGAGAGGGTAGCGAATAAAATGCCATCAAGCTATATTGTATGAAAATCACAAAAAAGCATTTAAAAATTTCTCAGAAAAAAAGAAACTCAAACATAAATATTAAGGCATTATATTATCAGAGAGCGGGGCACCGAGAATTTAATGTGTTTTATTGATCTTTATTTCTACAACAAATACAAATAAAATGTAAAAATCCAGAAAGAATACTTAGTTCTGGCTGCCACGTACAGAATGCTGCTGTATGCAGATTGCTGTGGCGAGAACTGAAGGAAGGTTGGAAGGTGAGACAAGCTACAGACAGAACGACAGGACAAAGGACCTGGACTTTGAAATGCAATTCTAGATTTTGTTTCGATGACTCTGGCATTTTGAACTAACAAGTCTTTCAACTAATTTATTTTAGTCATCTTAATTTCAGTTGATCATCTGGAACTATGAATTAACAGTGCAAACGTCTATAAGTTCTTAATGATGTATGTACTTAAATTTGGAACTTAAGTACAAAGTAAGTTGCAATTTGATTATGGCCCAGAATTGTTGTTGGAATTGCAAAGTCAAGGAAATAGTGAGGATTTATAAGGAATGATGTTTACAAGGGAAAAAGGAAATGAGCAAAAATAAAAGGAAATGGGATTTTATCTTTTCAAAATTCAGTTGATTTGAGGCAGAATTCTCAAACAATTCTTTCAATATGGTAGAAAACATGGAAATGATAATGAAAATTAGAATGAAAGTTTGAAATGTCAATGGAAGGTTAAAGAGTGGCTAGAGGATGGCTCAGTGAGTAAGAATAGTCCTGCTCCTTCAGAGTTCTGTTCCCAGCACCCACATGTGGTGGCTCACAACTGCCTGTAACTTCAGCTCCCCAGTTCTGTTCCCAGCACCCACATGTGGTGGCTCACAACTGCCTGTAGCTTCAGTTCCCCAGTTCTGTTCCCAGCACCCACATATGGTGGCTCACAACTGCCTGTAGCTTCAGTTCCCCAGTTCTGTTCCCAGCACCCACATGTGGTGGCTTACAACTGTCTGTAACTTCAGCTCCAGGGGATCATACACCTTCTTCAGCCTCTTCTGTCCTCTGTGGGCATTGCACGGCATAGGTGCACTTACCTACATGCAGGCATAACACTCATACACATAAAAATAACAAAATATTTTTTTTTAATTTATGCATGACTTGGGGTATAGTTCAGGGTACCATACTTGCCTGACATCTATGATCTAGATCCTTGAATTGATCCCCAGCACCAAAAACATTGCACTGATAAACCCAATGTGAAAATCAACTATAAATAAGTGGCTTTCTGTAGGACCATGAATAGGTTATGACTTCTTAGAAAACTGATGCTAAGTAAGCACTTTCCTAAAGCACTGTACAGAGAAGTAAAAACGAATGACATAGATCTAATGATGTATTTAGCAATGATGTGGATAATAATGATTTAGATACTAATGCTTCATATCAGGCCCAGAAACTCACTCTTAAACAATTTTCCTGTTACTTTTACAAACTTTAGTTCATTGTCAAGCATAGAAAACTTAAGGAGTATATATGCTGTCTCTTTTCTTGGGAAATCAAACATAAGGCATTTGAAGGCAAATAAAAGTTTAAAAAGTTG